CCGCCTGCTGGGGCCCTCGGAGAGTGAGTCCTGGGTGAGCAGACGGTGTGCTGTCCTTGGTCTTAAAATAAGACGCGCCCCTCGACAGCCCTGACAACCTCGGAATTGTAGGTCAGAGTGGGCGCTGGGGAGAGGGCCGTGCAGCTGCGGCGGCTGAGCGCCCCGACCTGGGTGGGTGTTGGACACCTTGCCCTGACAGCAGTGAGAACCTGCAGTGGCAGTAAATTAAATTAAAATCCTGCAGCAACAAGTCTTCTCCCGGGAGTTTCCAGAATTCTTGGGGGGACTTGGGAGCCGTGGCTGGGACCGCTTTGGGGCTCCTGGGTCAGAAGGAAACCTGCAGACGGTGGATGCTGCCTCCATCCCAGGGGCCCAGCGCTGGGGCGCCCGCGCCTGGCCTGCCCCTGCCTGCGTGTCCAGGGAAGCAGGGCGCCTGCCCAGGGTCTGAGCAGAAAGCAGATGTTTTGTATCTGGAGGAATTTTCCAAAAATAGAAGGCCCGTAGATGGCTGGGTTTTTGCATCTAAATCCCGCAGCATCCACCAGCCCCAGCAGCGAGCCCCCGTTGGGCTGGCTGTCTGCATCTAGGCCCGGGTCGGGCAGAGGACAGGCCCGAGACACCGGGACCGCGGTGACCCGAACCCAGGCGCCAAGAGCGAGGCCGACTAGAGGGGGAAGAGGGAGGGGAAGCGGCGGGTTGGAGCGCGGGTCTGCGGGCCCCAACCTTTCCAAACCTTTTAGAAGCCCAGCGCCGCGGGTCAGGGAGGAGGTCAGCAGATCAAAGCGCATCGCTAACCAGGTGGTACCTCTGGCCCTCCGGGCGGTTGGGGGCGGGGACACCTGCGCGGACCTGCCCCGCCCCGCGAGCGCCTTCCGGTGACCCCGCCCCATCGCCCAGCGCGCTTCGCAGGCCTCCGGCGCGGAGCGGCCTCCGCGGTGCAGCCGTGACGCGGTTCCCCGCGCTCGCCTCCGCCCGGACGGAGCTAATCCGGACCCGCAGGCCCGCCGCGCCCTCAGCCAGCATTTTCGCTGGTCGCCCGGCTGCCTGGGGTCCAGTCCCACCGCCGCCCTGACCCCAGGCCGGTCACGGAGCGGCCCCGCGCCTCCGTTCCCCGACGCAAACCCGAGAGGGTAAACTGCAGTTCCGTGATCACACCTCCCCACGCCCAGACAGGGCTGCGGCAGGTGCGGGGGCCCTGGGTTCGGGTGGGGAAACCCCCGCTGGGTAAGGTGAGTTCTGCCAAGGAGCCTCTCCCAGCCCCGGGCCTGGGGGGCCTGCCTGTTAGCGCCGGGCGCCCCCCACGCCACGCGGAAGGAAGCTGGTACCGGGTAACGATGGTGCCGCCCCCCATCCTCTGCGTGAACGTGCGCGTCTTATGCCCAACTTCACACAGATGTGTATTTATCTGGACGAAATTTCCAAAAACAGAAGGCTCGTAGGTTGCTGGGTTTTTACACATTTAAATTCTGCAGCATCCCCCTGACCTTTTAAAGATATAAATATAAATATAATCTTTCCAGACGGGAATAGGCGTGGATTACAACAGCTTTTTCTTTTGCGATTGTTTGCATAAACCTTCCCCTTTCTGAGCAGCGGGAGAAAGGGCGCTGCCGGAGACGCTCGGAACCTCAAAGGAAGACCGTGGGGAGAGGGGGAGGCCAGGCCGGGAGCAGGCGGGCGGGGGACTCACAGGGGAGGGCCCAGGGCCGGGATGGGAGCCGCCCGCCCAGAGGCTGCCCTGAGAGGAGACGTCGGCTCTCCCGCTGCAGCCCTGCTCCGAGGCCCGAGCCTTCCTCAGGCAGCGGGCTGCGCAGTGCAGGTGCTGGACACCAGAACAAACCCCCGCTCCCCAGAGCTGCCTCTCCCACAGCTGCACACAGAGCCTCCCACAGGAGGAGATGTGGTCACCTTAAAGCCCTGTAGCACCGGAGTCCACTGGTCCTAACACCACCAACTTCTCTAGACAAAGAAATGCACATTCACCTAAAGTTTAGGTCCTAAACGAAGGAGCGGCCTGCGGGTAGCCTGCAGCTGGAGGGCGGTCAGGCCCCGGGGAGCAGGCTGGGCACCATCACTGTGGCCTGGGTTGAACCAGATGAGCCTGAGCTGTGGCCTCCTGACGCGCTCTCAGCTGGACCCAGGGGTGGGGGGGAGGGTAACGGGGGAGAGGGGATTTGGGGGGCTGAGAGGGAGGTTACTAGGAACAAGAAGGGTGACGGTATTCCTCTGGGAGTCACTGAAACACTGGCTTTGTTGAGGAAAGGGGTGTTTGGGGAGTGTAGACTGCACACCCATTCCCAACTGAATCGGCCCAAGAGCGGGTGTTTGGGTAGGAGAGAGGGCGGCGAGCTCCAGGATCAATGGGGAGTGGTGACTTAGTTGGCAGTCACCCCACCCAGCCTCGGAATCTGTGCCCTTGGGATCGATGACCGTCTCAGCAGGTGGAGGAGGGGGGAGGAGAAAGGCCCTGCCTTGGAGCTAAGGCCTGTCTGAGGGCCCCCACTGCCCTCCTGGGGGGCAGGGAGACACTCTCCCTGGAGAGTGAAGGGTGTCCTGCCCAGAAAGGGGAGCTTGGAACCCCAAAGGCAACAGGTAGGAGGAAAGGGGGGCAGGGATGGGGACACTGGAGGGCAGAGGCAGAAATGTGTGGCCCCTCTGTCAGGCCTGGGCCCAATCCCAACGCTGAGGCTGTTACCTGTGGGGGACGGTTACCTTGGGGGACAATCTCAGCCTCTTGAAGCTGAACTCTGTGAAACGGAGGTGGCAAACCCTTCTAGTGTCCTAGTGAAGATGAAAGAAGATCACTGTAGACCGCTCACGGCCTGTAGCAGGTGTTCCAGAAATGTGAGTGCTCCCCTCGCTCCACGAGAGGCTGGGCTGCATTCCTATTTGCTCAGAAAGATCTCATCTACGACAAACACCCTGTCGATGCTGTCACCCATCTGCAAGTGGACACTGGTTTGTGCAAAGCGCTGTGGCACTTGCTCGGGTTGCTGCCAGCCACTGCCCGCCTCCTAAGGCCCACCGGGCTCTGCTGGTCCCAGGACGCCCCTGTGAGAGGAAAGAAACTGGGCTCTTGACAATGGAATCCCTGCCGTCAGCTCTCCCCGAGGTAAACGCCTTCCAGAAAAACAACAGGGCCCCACACAGTATTTACCTTTTTAAAAACCCTCCTGTAGCAACCTGACCTGCTCATTGACAAGTTTCCTGCCCCAATTGTCCTGCGCCCCGCCCCTCCTGCCCTTTACTCACCTTCCACCGCCTGGGAAGCCCGACTTCAAGAACCTGAAACTCCTCCCCATTCCCACACCTGTCTGGGGAGATAACTGGGTCTCACCGAGCTATTGACAAAGTCTGGTGTTGGGGGCCACCTGCCTGTTGATTCTTTCCGCTTAAAAAAGCCCCTTGAAAGTGCTTTTACTGTAAATATTTGAGGCGTATGGGGGGGGGGGGGTCTGAACTCTCACTCCATCACCGCCGGCCTCGGCTGGTTTTCCAGGGCGCTGCGGGCAGGAGGCGAACGAACACGGGCAGCATTTTCCTGCCAGGGTCCCAGCGACCAGCCTCAGGACCAGCTCTGCCCCTGCACGCCCACCAAGGACCGCCCCAGGCAGGTGGACAGGTCTCCGCGCCCGCGGTCCTGGGCTCTGCAGCGGCGGGAAGGCACACTCACGCACACACGCACAACACCTGGAACGCGCGGCACTTTCCAGAGGAGGTAAGGAGGTGACACCTGCAGAGGGTTGCGACAGGGGCACAGACCGCTCCTGTGCGCCGCGGAGACCCAGGAGCAAGGCTTGAGGACCCCAAGGTCCTCTTTGCTCTGCAGTCACTGAGCAGAGCGGCTAGTTCTGGGAGCAGCGTGGGCTCCCCCACGGAGAAGTGGACAAACTCAAGTGCTGACGAGGAGGCAGGGGAGGAGGTGCTCTGCAGGCTCTGGGTGACCCGAGCGCAGAGGGGAACAGCGCGACTCAGGGGCTGGGGCTGGGCAGTCGCGGGGGCCCCGCGGGGACCCAGGAGCACCAGCGCCCGCCATCCTGCTCAGCACCCGCAGGAAGGAGAGCAGGAACCCTAGATTGCGCCGCAGAGCTTCCCACCCCTGGTCGCTGCTCCCTCCCTGCCACCGCTGCCGGGCACCCCGGGCTGTTTAGGACCTTGCAGCGCAGGGGCGGGGCGGCAGGCGGCTGCGACGGTGACAGGTGCGCCCAGCGGCCAATGGCCAGGCCCGCGCCCCTCCCCGGGCCCCCGCTGCGCGCGCCAATCCGCAGCCGCGCTGCGCTTCAAGTGCGCGCAGGGGCGCGGGTCCCCGCCACGGCGCCAGCGGC